CCGTAGTGGAGTATCTCTGTGAGTCCAACCACATGTGACCTAGCACTTGGCATAAGCCTTCTTCGAGCTCTAAATTGAGATTCCTATAACCTGTGAACCAAAAAGGACTTTGATTTGAGAGTTCTCTGCTAGTTGATGATCAAATCAATCATGGTAAATACAAAAATTTAGTACCGTTGAGTCTAAGCCAAGCATGCATCATTTCATGAGCCAAGATGTATCCTGTTAGCATCCTGCGTGTGAAAGAGAGATTTGATTTAGTCTATTTGCGCGATAGTACTTAAAAGAATGAGAATGAGCTTAATAGTACCTAGGAAGTCCATATAGGATGAGAATTGCAGTGACTTCGCACTCACGAACAACCCTTTGCGATTCCGTAGTCACGCTTACTAGCTGCTCGTTCGGCCCCATCTTTGGTCCTTTTGAGACCTATATATATGGAACAGAGTTCAAGTCATGAATTCAAATCCTGTTTTAGTCTGAAGTAATCGTTACCGAATATAAGCTCTTACACTTTTGACATCCTGTGCTTCAGACAGGCAAATACCTCTGGTTACTACCCCATGCTGATTGTCCTGTTTGGGTTGAAAATAACGACACATGTGAGTGAAAGAAAGAGAAAACAGAGATAGATGTTTCAGTTTAGGAAATGTACTCACAATCTTCTCTTCATTCTCGGCTTTATTCAGTGCTTCTTTCTCCACCAAAAAAAGAGGAAATTCTTTATCAACCTTCATGTTGAGGCCATCGAAGAACTCACGGATTTCAAAGTGCAAAGGTTGGCATTCAAAAGTATCCATAACCGCACATTCCATACATTTTACGCATAGCCACCGATTGTCAGTAAGCAATACATACTTGGTTTCGCAGGGCTGCAAAAAAAATTAACCAGAGGGCATGACCGTTTCTTCGTCTCGTCCCATTTTCTGCGTTTTATTTTGATTGGTGAAAGTAAACCCACCTCTAATCTTTCACAACTGCAGCACTTGGGAGTTTCATCAATTTCATGACAAGGGCAGTATTTCTCCTTCCAGAACGAATGTTCGTTATACTTTATACCTTCCGCAGTTGCAGGAATCTAAACATAGTTACATTAATATCCATAGTCGGCAGAAAAAAAGTACAACAGATAATCCAAAATTCAATACTGTTTACCTTCTTTTTGCAGACATAGCAGTCCGGGTGACGATGCTCCTTGTAGCAGGTTCTATGAAACTTCCCTTTTGAGTAAAACTAAGGAGTTATCAAGATTTAGATTTTGCATCAGAAAACAAAATGAGCAACTCAATTAGTATTATATCAATCACTATTAACCCAAATAAAAAAAAAGGAGTTTTTCATATATGGTTTTAAACCTCGTGCATCGCAATTGGTTTGTGGCAATAAAGGCAACAGAAACATTCAGGATGCCAAACACCACCCAAGACATTCACAGATCTTTCATCTTTAATTCCAGAGTTGCAACCATCACAATTGCTACAAGTGAAATAATCTTAACCTGGTCAGGATATATCTGAGTTGAGATAAAGAATACAACCAAACTGCCAAAGCAACAGACAAACACTTACCGATGAGGAGGGTTCACGCCGAGAACTGCCTTTGGAAGCTTTCCATCTTCTTCCACCTCATCTTTACATTGCTTTATTTGACCCTTCCCCTTGAAACTCTCCAAGATAACCCACTGCTCATCTTCATCCAATGGGGATTCAAAGGATATATTTTTGCGTTCTTCAACTCGAGGAGGAGGCTCCACCATGTATAGACTCTCCTGATGCAACAGAGCAACCTGCTGATCATATTCATCTTGTGTTTTCTTCCCTTTCTCCTTCAAATCCTCCTCAACAATCCTAGAAAGCTGCTCATCTTCTTCGTCCACCACAGATTTATCAAGCTCGATTTCTTCCACATATTGAAGAGCACAGGCTAGCTGCTGATCGTTTTCACTGGCGCGCTGTCTTTCTTCTTCCTCCTCCTCACGCAGACAAGATTCTTGTGGGTTGAAGCTTTCTTGAATGGCCCAATTAAGATGGTCATCTTCTGATCTTCTCTCACATCTGATGACATCTTCAACCAGTGAAATTTCTGTGACGATATTGGTTTCTGCTTCAAAACGATCCTGCAAAATTAAGACCCCTAAAAGGTAAGAAAATCTTCACAAAACCAAAAGAGATAGCCAAAAAAACACTAAACTACCTTAGACGGATCATGTTTAGTGGATGGTTTGAAGCAAGAAAAGCACCACCACATTCTCTGAATCCAACTTCTTCACCGATCTGACCTGCGTTTCTCCCTTCACAGTGATCATCCATTTTACCATCAACGAAGGAAAAAAAAACAATCACAAGGATCAAAATGAACACGAAAAGTTCCAACAAAAAGACCAAGCTAAGCATTTCAGTATTCATTGAGCAAATGTATAATGCCTGAAAACTAGGTTAAAACATTATGAAACAAAATAGACAGCATGAACAACAGAATTGGACAAACCCCAAAAGAGCACGCAACTACAAGTTCTGATGACAGTCAAATGCAGAGAACTATAACGAAAAAGCTTTGAAATTTGAATGAAAATTAAAATCTGAAGCCTTTAACGAGCGGAGAAACATATAAAGGATGATGATAAAGTAACAATTAAAGAAGTCAATAATACTCACAAAAAAGAAATCCGTCGAGCGATTGAATTCGGAAAGCCATGAAACTTTTGGGTTTCGTTGCAGCTCAAAACTCTTTCCTTTTCTGTTCTTCAATTTCCAGAAATGGCGACTGAGTGAGTAAGAGAGAGCATAAAGTAATACGCGTAGTCGCGTGGAGGAGAAAGAGAAACGATAGTGGTCCAAGCTCTTGAAACGTCGTCGTTTTACCTGTAAACCAACACTCGAACGGTTAAGAATATACCGGGTTTTAACTGAACGGCCGTACCGACAAATCCGATGTTTAGTAGACTAAACAACGGGCTTAATGGTCAATTTATATATATCGTGCAATAAAAGGCCCAAGCCCATATTAAATGTGATGTCGACGACTTAACGTTTATTGGCTCTTGATATTAAAGTTAAACCCACGAAAATAGATCCACGTGTATACAAATATCTGGAAATACAACAAAAGAATGGAATTAAGAGGAATTTAAAAAACAATTTATCTTGCGCTGTACCCAACTACAAAGTCGTATTAACAAGTGAGTAGTGACTAATTCAATCATGAAAAATACAGTTTAAAAATCATTTTCTTTATTCATCAGCCCACGATATAAAAAGGTAAAGAGATTTGTTAGAGAATCGTCGACAAAAAACAATACATCACACACACACACAAAAAAAAAAATGATGATCAAAGATATTCAAAACTACGCAGTGAGTGGAAGAGACGAAGCTTATGAATCACCAGGAGATTACGTTAGATTCATAAGTCCAGAGGTATACAGATCCAACAGACAGAAATATCTCAGAAGCTACACGTTTAAAAACTACGAAGATGAAGCAGATTTGTCGGAAAAGAAACAGAGGAAGTGGTTCAAGAACAAGAAGATGATCAAGTTTAAGAAGACGAGTGATTCACTTGGTAACTCGCTCAAGTCTTGTCTCAGGCTCTTGTTCTCTTGCTTCCATATCTGATTCGCATATATATATATA